CCCGTCCCATGTTGTTATTCTCTCCCGTCCCATGTTGTTATTCTCTCCCGTCCCATGTTGTTATTCTCTCCCGTCCCATGTTGTTATTCTCTCCCGTCCCATGTTGTTATTCTCTCCCGTCCCATGTTGTTATTCTATCCCGTCCCATGTTGTTATTCTCTCCCGCCCCTTGTTATTCTCTCCCATCCCATGTTGCTATTCTATCCCATCCCATGTTGTTACTCTCTCCCGTGCCATGTTGTTCTTCTCTCCCATCCCATGTTGTTATTCTCTCGTCCCATGTTGTTCTTCTCTCCCATCCCATGTTGTTATTCTCTCCCGTCCCATGTTGTTATTCTCTCCCATCCCATGTTGTTATTCTCTCCCGTCCCATGTTGTTCTTCTCTCCTCATCCAATCTTTACTTTTTCCTCGTTCTTGTTCAGTTGTTGATTTTTCTCTCAATCCATGTTCAGGTGAACATCCATCCGTCCTCTGTCAACTTCAGGACCCTCCATTTCCTCAGCCCCTACCTGGTCTACCATGAGAAGATCAAAACATCCAAGGTTCAGTTGAATTTCTCTCGTAGAAAACATAATCATCATCATCATTATTATCTAGTAACCTGTAAAGACAACCATGAATAGTTATAACAAAATTTTTCCCCCACTGCCGTATCAAATACGTGATGTTACAATATGTTACCATGGCCATGTCAGCTGTGTGACATTTTCCTTTCACCATTAACCATATTGACTCTGTAGTTTGTCTTTCCCGTGCGAAGATGTCATTATTTGACTCGAATAGTAGGCTTGACTTGAGTTGTATTTTGTTTCAAGTGAGGGAGAGTCGCTCAATTCATCAGCCTCACTCTCTCGTCCTTGACCATTTGTTCCAATGGCGAGACTTAGTCAAGACGACTGGAAATCGACCACGATGCAGTAGATGACCAGCCGTCTTGTTTTTTCTTTCTTTTCACCATGCTCTTTATGCGCTCCTCTTTGCAGGACGGAGCTGTTTAAAATCTCATTGAGTTCATTTTCCTACGGGACTCCCATCTCTGAGTGTGATGTCAGAGTTTGCCTTCATCCAGCCACCGTATCAACTCTATAAGATATCACCATTACGTGACATACAGGCGTTTCTGTTTCTTCAAAACATCCCAGACAGTTTTACAATAACCGAGGCTTAGAATCTTTGCATTCCTCTTTGTTATGTTAACATCTAAAATGTTTATCAATGAAATAAAATATCTGCTAATATCAAAGTCAAGGCTGATCTGTTGTAACCATGAATGCATTATAAATAGGTAATTTTTTATGCAGGTGTACATTGAAGACCGTCCTGGAGTATCCATGGATCAACTATAAAAACCTCCACTATTTTCCAGGTCTACATTCGTGACTGCTCAGTTGTGTCCACATATCCGCTGTTACTGTTTGCTGGTGGACAGCTGGATATAAAGACGATTGACAGATATACAGTGCTGTATGTGGATGAACTCATTCAGTTCAAGACAATCTTTCCTAAGGTTAGTTGTGCTGCCATGAGTATTTAACACGACATTCTTTCCTGGGGTCAGTTGTAGTGAGTTTAGCCTGTTACAAGGCATTCTTTCCTGGGGTTAGTTGGAGTGAGATTAGCCTGTTACAAGGCATTCTTTCCTGGGGTCAGTTTGAGTGAGTTTAGCCTTTTACAAGGCATTCTTTCCTGGGGTTAGTTGGAGTGAGATTAGCCTGTTACAAGGCATTCTTTCCTGGGGTCAGTTTGAGTGAGTTTAGCCTGTTACAAGGCATTCTTTCCTGGGGTTAGTTGGAGTGAGATTAGCCTGTTACAAGGCATTCTTTCCTGGGGTCAGTTGGAGTGAGATTAGCCTGTTACAAGACATTCTTTCCTGGGGGTCAGTTGGAGTGAGATTAGCCTGTTAAAAGACATCTTACCTGGGGTTAGTTGGAGTGAGATTAGCCTGTTACAAGATATTCTTTCCTGGGGTCAGTTGGAGTGAGATTAGCCTGTTAAAAGACATCTTACCTGGGGTTAGTTGTAGCCTGTTAAAAGACATCTTACCTGGGGTTAGTTGGAGTGAGATTAGCCTGTTACAAGATATTCTTTCCTGGGGTCAGTTGGAGTGAGATTAGCCTGTTAAAAGACATCTTACCTGGGGTTAGTTGGAGTGAGATTAGCCTGTTACAAGATATTCTTTCCTGGGGGTCAGTTGGAGTGAGATTAGCCTGTTAAAAGACATCTTACCTGGGGTTAGTTGGAGTGAGATTAGCCTGTTACAAGATATTCTTTCCTGGGGTCAGTTGAAGTGAGATTAGCCTTTTACAAGACATTTTTTCTTGGGGTTAGTTGGAGTGAGATTAGCCTGTTACAAGACATTCTTTCCTGGGGTTAGTTTGAGTGAGATTAGCCTGTTACAAGACATTCTTTCCTGGGGTCAGTTGAAGTGAGATTAGCCTGTTACAAGACATTCTTTCTTGGGGTTAGTTGGAGTGAGATTAGCCTGTTACAAGACATTCTTTCCTGGGGTCAGTTGAAGTGAGATTAGCCTGTTACAAGACATTCTTTCTTGGGGTTAGTTTGAGTGAGATTAGCCTGTTACAAGACATTCTTTCCTGGGGTCAGTTGAAGTGAGATTAGCCTGTTACAAGACATTCTTTCTTGGGGTTAGTTGGAGTGAGATTAGCCTGTTACAAGACATTCTTTCCTGGGGTCAGTTTGAGTGAGATTAGCCTGTTACAAGATATTCTTTCCTGGGGTCAGTTGAAGTGAGATTAGAATGTTACAAGATATTCTTTCCTGGGGTCAGTTGAAGTGAGATTAGCCTTTTACAAGACATTTTTTCTTGGGGTTAGTTGGAGTGAGATTAGCATGTTACAAGACATTTTATCCTAAGGTTAGTTGGACTGTCATTAGCATGTTAATTTTAGACAAAAAGACAGAATTCTCATACAAAGAATTACTGTAATCAGTGCATGTTATTGTGTACCAACAGTATAGTTTATCAGTGTGCACTCATATTTCACCATTGTGTACCACTAGTCTGTTTACCATTGTACATTAATAATGATTAATCTGAAAACTGCGTTAGCCGACACCAGAAAGTCATATGCCAGTGTAACCACAGCAGGGTCGCACAGCACCGGTGAATCTCTAGGATTTGTTACAAAGACCCAGTGTCTGTTCACTGTGATAGACTGCTACTATCGTCTTTTTTTTTTTAAAAATTGAATAGTGGCGCCATCGACTTCCAGTATCCTTGTTTGATTAATATTTAAATCTTCTCACAACGTATTCAAATCTTGTAGAGCGTACAGTGGAGTATTGTTCGTCCTTCACATGTGAAGATGACCAAGGGCATTATTCGACTTGAGCAGTAGCCTTCACTGGAGCTTTATTTTGTTTCAAGTGAGGGGGAGTTGCTCATTTCGTTAGCCTCAGTCTCTCCTCCTTGCATATTTGTTCCAACGGTGAGACTTAGTCAAGATGTTTGGAATAATCCAGGGTGCAGTAGATGACCAAATGGCGAGACTTAGTCAAGATGTTTGGAATAGACCAGGGTGCACTAGATGACCAAATGGTGAGACTTAGTCAAAATGTTTGGAATAGACCAGGGTGCACTAGAGGACCAAATGGCGAGACTTAGTCAAGATGTTTGGAATAGACCAGGGTGCAGTAGATGACCAAATGGCGAGACTTAGTCAAGATGTTTGGAATAATCCAGGGTGCAGTAGATGACCAAATGGCGAGACTTAGTCAAGATGTTTGGAATAGACCAGGGTGCAGTAGATGACCAAATGGCGAGACTTAGTCAAGATGTTTGGAATAGACCAGGGTGCAGTAGATGACCAAATGGTGAGACTTAGTCAAGATGTTTGGAATAGACCAGGGTGCAGTAGATGACCAAATGGTGAGACTTAGTCAAGATGTTTGGAATAGACCAGGGTGCAGTAGATGACCAAATGGTGAGACTTAGTCAAGATGTTTGGAATAGACCAGGGTGCAGTAGATGACCAAATGGTGAGACTTAGTCAAGATGTTTGGAATAGACCAGGGTGCAGTAGATGACCAAATGGTGAGACTTAGTCAAGATGTTTGGAATAGACCAGGGTGCAGTAGATGACCAAATGGTGAGACTTAGTCAAGATGTTTGGAATAGACCAGGGTGCACTAGATGACCAAATGGTGAGACTTAGTCAAGATGTTTGGAATAGACCAGGGTGCAGTAGATGACCAGCAGTGTTTTTTTTTTTTTTTTACAAATTTCTTTGTTTCGCTGTGCTCTTTATGCGTTCCAAGTTGCAGGAATTGTCTGAATATTCATTGTGTCAATGTCATGCTGCCTACGGGACCCGCTCACCGGGCTTGATTGTAGCATGGTAGACTAGGACCTCGGCGATATACCAATAATTTCCAATATCATTACTCAATTGATCGGGAGAAAATTATAACAATTTTTTTAACCCACTCATAACCCAAACCACTCCGCTATAGATTGAATGCATGTCTTAGCTATAGATTTAATCTATGTCCTAGCTATAGATTTAATGCATGTCTTGGCTATATGTCAAATGTAACCCCCCCATAACCTTTCCACAGTTTCATCTTATCAAATTATTACGTCATTTGAAAAGAAAAGTTATTAATAGGAAATAACCTTTTGATAGACTCAATGAAATATGTTCAATTATTTCATTTACAGACAGCAGAAGTGATCAAGAAGCTAAGATTCGAACTAGATCAACTTTTGGCTGACAAAATTTCACAGCCAGAAATGGACCTTCTGACCAGCTCAAGAGGCAAAAAGATAATTGACTGTATAGTAGAAGTTATCAAAGAATGCTAATAATGATTTATTGATGATACTGTCAAACATTGGTGATACTGTCCTGCACTTGGCTAGACTTTTCAAAGTAATACATTGATGATACTGCACTTGGCTAGACTTGTGTAAGCCAAACATTGGTGATACTGTCCTGCACGTGGCTAGACTTGTCAAAGTAATACATTAATGATACTGCACTTGGCTAGACTTGTGTAAGCCAAACATTGGTGATACTGTACTGCACGTGGCTAGACTTGTCAAAGTAATACATTGATGATACTGCACTTGGCTTGGCTAGACTTGTCAAGTAGCTTAGCCATTTTATATGCTTGTTTTATTGAATGGAAAATTCAGCAAATTTGATGAATCATTTATCAATGTAATTTCTTTAATCCAGCGTTATTAGATTGTTGATTGGTTCATTGGTGTTTTAACGGGGGGGGGGGGGGGAAGTAATAATAAAAAAATAAAAAATCAACATTCCAATTTTTAAAGAAATTAATTTTCTACATAAATAAAATGATATTTTATGAAAAAGGTTCCTTTGAAATATTAGAATTGTTCAAAGAGGGAATCTTTATCTTTTCAATAATACATGCATGATAAAATTCCCATATTTTAAATATAGTTTTAGTTGTCATGCTCTACTTTCTTGCAGAGAAACTGAAAGCCCAATACGGGTGCCTGACATCTGGATATTGGATACTATCACCACTGATAATGTCAGATATTCAGTGCCGTCTTAACGGCCTAGTAATGAGCTGTGGCCCCCTTCTACTCTCTAAGCTTTTTACGTAAAGTTAGGAAAAAACATTTGGGTCCCAGGTTGGCCGATGAGTTTTGCCAGAGGTACTTTTAATTTCGGGTGTGGGGCAGCGTTATTAGGGGTTCTGGAAGAGGGGCGGGACATTATTCAGTGCCTAATTTAGGCATGATGTTGCCCAGGGCCAGCTTTGACTCTGTCATTACCTTCCCCGATACAAAAACACAAAAGTCTTCATTTTAACAATTTTTTTATAGAAAAGGGATAATTATGTAAATAAGATAGGATGCGTCCACACAAAAAAGGAACTTATATTTATTCGTGATTTGTCTAAAAGAAGTTAAAGCGGTATAAATTTCCAAAAATGGGAAGGTTTTGTATCGATTTCAAAACTTCTACAACTTTGAAATAACTAATTAATAAAGACATGTGGCCTCTTGTACAACTCTCTGAGGTTATCTCAATTCTAACACAACTCACTCCCTTCCTCCAAATCTCTGGATTATTTTTTTTAAACTGAGGATTTTTTTTCTTCTAAAAACCCCCCTGGTAGTACCACAACTAATAGATTTGATTTGATGTTTGAACAACTCGGGGAAACCTGCTTCCTGCTGCACGTTGAATGGTTTGAAAGCAAATGAAATCGCATACAGCTCTTTCAATATCAATTCACAGTGTGAGCAACTTGAGCCCCTAGAAGCTCGAGGCGCCCTGGAAGTGTGAGGCGCCCTGAAAGCTTGAGGCCCCTCGGTAATTACCCAGTGAGCCCATGCCTTAAGACAGCATTGCTGATATTCCCACTAATGGTGTCAGATATTACCCCTTATGGTGTCAGATATTCTCATTAATGGTGTCAGCTATTCTCACTAATGTTGTTAGATATTCCCACTAAATGTGTTATATTTTCCCACAAATGGTGTCAGATATTCCCATCAATGGTGTCAGATAATCCCTAAAGTTAGTGCCAGGACATCAAAGTTTGAAAACCCCGATGGTAAAGTTAGATATTTAAACTTTTTAAAATTTTTAACATCTTTTACTTATGTATCATGACTATTTGTTGACTTCTTTGAAGTCATTTTACTCATGCATTATGAAAATTCGCTGACATATGAACCATAAATTTACTAATTTATTCCTAGTTAAATGTTGAATGGAAAATTTTTTCTTTGTCTCATTTTGTGATTAAAATCTGTGATACTTTGGACACAAACGTGTCGAGGAAACAGAGCGAGACCAGATATGTGTTCATCTTCTCTTTGTTAATTGATGGACGTTGTGACTTATGAGATGTACTCATATTTTTCAAAAATTTGCACATGTCTGTCTCAGATGAACATACCTAAGGGTCAGGGAACAATAAGGAGCTGTTAAGTTGACCAATGATTTGAGTTGATCAATGACTTGAGTTGACCAATGAGTTTAGTTGACCAATGACTTGAGTTGACCAATGAGTTGAGTTGACCAATGACTTGAGTAGTACTAGTTGACCAATGATATTAGTTGACTGATGATTTGAGTTGACCAATGACTTGAGTTGGCCGATGATTTGACTTGGCCGATGATTTGACTTGACAAATGAGTTGAGTTGACTATTGAGTTGACCAATGATTTGAATTGCCTGATGATTTGAATTGAACAATGAGTTCAACACAGGATATATTGATATCTCGAGGAAATATTTCCACCATACTAACCTAATGACTTCAACTAAGGCTATGTGACTTTTGGGCCCAGATAACTTGATTTGAACTAAGGCTATGTGACTTTTGGGCCCAGATAATATGATTTGAACTATGGCTGTGTGACTTTTGGGCCCAGATGACATGATTTGAACTAAAGCTATGTGACTTTTGGGCCCAGATAATATGATTTGAACTATGGCTATGTGACTTTTGGGCCCAGATAACATGATTTGAACTAAGGCTATGTGACTTTTGGGCCCAGATAACGTGATTTGAATTAAGACTAAGTGACTTTCGGTCTAGCAGAAGCTGCCATATAACAATGTCGGATTCTGATATTGCAGTCGTACCCCCATCTGTAATTTTGGGAATTGGATAAATAACGTAGCCACCAATCCTCTCCTACAATAAATGGACATGGGAATTTGATGAATAATGTAGCCACCAATCCTCTCCTACAAATGGACATGGGAATTTGACGAATAATGTAGCCACCAATCCTCTCCTACAAATGGACATGGGAATTTGATGAATAACGTAGCCACCAATCCTCTCCTACAAATGGACATGGGAATTTGACGAATAATGTAGCCACCAATCCTCTCCTACAAATGGACATGGGAATTTGATGAATAATGTAGCCACCAATCCTCTCCTACAAATGGACATGGGAATTTGATGAATAATGTAGCCACCATTCCTCTCCTACAAATGGAATGGGAATTTGATGAATAACGTAGCCACCAATCCTCTCCTACAAATGGGAATTGGATGAATAACGTAGCCACCAATCCTCTCCTACAAATGGGAATTGGATGAATAACGTAGCCACCAATCCTCTCCTACAAATGGGGATGAATAACGTAGCCACCAATCCTCTCCTACAAATGGGAATTGGATGAATAACGTAGCCACCAATCCTCTCCTACAAATGGGAATTGGATGAATAACGTAGCCACCAATCCTCTCCTACAAATGGGAATTGAATGAATAACGTAGCCACCAATCCTCTCCTACAAATGGGAATTGGATGAATAACGTAGCCACCAATCCTCTCCTACAAATGGGAATTGGATGAATAACGTAGCCACCAATCCTCTCCTACAAATGGGAATTGGATGAATAACGTAGCCACCAATCCTCTCCTACAAATGGGAATTGGATGAATAACGTAGCCACCAATCCTCTCCTACAAATGGGAATTGAATGAATAACGTAGCCACCAATCCTCTCCTACAAATGGGAATTGGATGAATAACGTAGCCACCAATCCTCTCCTACAAATGGGAATTGGATGAATAACGTAGCCACCAATCCTCTCCTACAAATGGGAATTGGATGAATAACGTAAAGTGATCACAATGCCCGACATGTCACAACTAATAAAGCAACTAATAAATCAAACGCGTTACCTTTGCCTAGTTTATGCTGGAAGGAATCGTTTCTTTATAAGCGTTTCAATGATGCAAAAGTCGTGACTTTCCGATAATCAGAGTTTTAACATTTTTTTAAAAGATGTTTGCCAGTGCCAAACGTTCATTAACAACAGGTTAAACAACCCCCCCCCCCAGGTTCGGTGTACAACCCAACCATCCAGCGTCCATCCATCCACCCCGTTGTTTTACCACCATTTCACCACGCCAGACTTCCCTCCCTCCTCGGCAACAACGACGCCAACATGGACAACACGAGTTCGCGTTCGGCTTGCATAACATAAACAGCCGTCACGCGAAACCTGCCGTTCGAAACTTGCCATCTGTTTCCCCCCGCGTGCTACCGCTAGCGTGTCCAGTTACGCTCTTCTCCCGTGTAAAGTGGGCCCGGGGCTTTGAAAGCGTCGACTTCTGCTTTATGGCCGCGCCATTAACGACTTGTTTTGTTCGTGCCGCAAAGGGAAAGGGGGGACAGAACCCAAACATGTTTGCTAGTTTAAGGGACCGCACCGTTCGCTGGCTTTCAGTTGATGTATTTCTCGCCTTACCTTCGTGTTGGACTCCCATCTTTTCATGTGTTGTACGAGTACATCAATTTTTTTTTATGTCTTGCAGGAGACCTGATCACGGGGAAATGAAAACAGAAGGCTGTTAGGGGTAGTTGTCTGGTATTGGTAGAACTCAGAGGAGTCTCCAAAATACGGCCCGCGGACCAGATGTGGCCCGCCATGCGAGTACCCGGGGATAGCAGTGACAAATATAAAACCTGACACTGACAATCTTTTATTAGCCAATATATACAGGTCCAACTGTCCCATTTATTTTTTTTTCTTTATTCGATTTAAATTGTTCTTCAGTTGTAATATATAATTTTTTAATTTTTTTTTGGTTAATAATGCAGCTCTTTCCCTTTTGTGGTTTTTCACCACAAATAAGATCTGCATAGGAATGTGGTCATATTATTTTTGTCAAATTTAATTCCGATCCCTAACAAAGTTTGAAAGACAGTGAGCCAACCACCCCACACCTACCCCCTGATTAAACATTTTGAGGAGCCCAGATATAAATGTATCTTAACCCCACCCCGTATTTTGGTTATGGACGTAGCATACGGCATTTTACCCTCTGAGGTGTCAGGAAGTATCATAACTATTATAAAGTTAAAAACGTCACGAGATGTAAACGTGTAAATACGCCTGTTGCGTAATGTAAATCATGTGAGTAAAGTCAACCTGACCTGAGAGAGTTGAGACACATGTTCAAATAACTGGCAATGTTTACAATTGTTGTTATAGCAACCGAATGTTTAGATTGAACTCCCTTATGAATTTATATATGTTTTGAAAATAGATAAGCAATAGAACAGTGGTTCTCAATCTTCCTAATGCCGCGACCGTTTAAA